ACATAACCTCTGGTTCTTTGTAGGACCATTTCTGGGTTTTGTATGCCGGGATGTCTTGTCCATGCCCCTGCCATTCATATTTGGCATGCCATGAGGTTTGTTAAGCATGGACTTGCTTCTTTGTCCATCTATTAACACACTCTCATACTTAGAAATTTTTTGAGTGGCTTGGGTGTGCTGCACACTCATATAATTTTCTCCCACTTGTTTCTTCATGGTCGGTGACATGCCCCCCTGTCCAATGGTTGGAGACATGTCCCCCATACCATTATTCATGATTGTTGACGTGCCCCCCTTTCCGAACTTAGCCACATTAGTATGCTTACTAAAAGCATGTGTGGCTTCATGTTGTGGCTTATTGGGCACACCTATCAACCTACTAGTGGTGATTGATGACATGCCCCCCATGTCATCCTTAGCTACACTATCATGCTTACTATAAGCATGTGTGGCTTGAGTTTGTTGTTGTTTCTTGGGCACGTCTATCTGTCTATTGTTTGTGGTTGGTGACATGCCACATTGTCGACCATTCATGGGTGGCATGCTACAAGGGGCCTTGCCTCCTTGTGCACTCTTTGACACATTGTCAAAGTTATGAAAATCATAGGTGGCATGGGTAGGAAACAACCACTTAGACTTGCCACTCACTCCATCCTTCATGTCTGATGACATGCCCCCCTGCCCACTGCATGGAGATGGAGATATGCCCCCCATGCCATCCTTAGGAAACAAATATGGTGTTCTGTTGGACACACCATTTTGTCCACCTTTCTTGACATCAACTTGCCCCCCAGCCTGACTCTTCATCTTCAACTTGTCAGGGGGTAGGCTTCCATGCACCTCTTCCTACCCCCCTAGTGGTTTGCATCCACCAGACCTCTTAAGCATCGATGGCAACGAGGGTGGGCAAACTTGTGGTAGCACATCCATAGCTAGCGACCCTCCACCAACTCTCATGTTCGAGAATGGTCTAGCCTCTGAAACAGTTTCTAGAGTAACTGTCTGCACAGGCGGCAGTTGCTTTACATGGGTGGTGAATGCGTTAGTAATATTCTTGTCATAATCTCCTTGTTGAAGAGGTGGTTGACTCATTGCCGGAGGCGGTAAGTTCCCTGACCGTGGCTGGGTAGTCCGGCCACCGGAGAACATGATACTTGTATACTCAGTAGCAATACTTGGTGGCGGATCTATACCATTTTTTGGTAAAGAAATATCTCGCACCACTGGTTCTATAAAATATTTTTTAAGCTTATCCAAGCAATTTGTATTTTCTGTAGTTGCTTCAAGCAATTCATCCAAACGTCTATCTAACATAGAACTAAAAGAAGCAAGTTTTAGACTTGTCTGTTGTGAACTTCTAACAAGTCCATTCAAACTCTCTTCCATCAATCGACGGATCTCCACCATCACTTGACGGTTCTCCACCACCATCTTGCAGTTATCATCCACTATTGAGCGGAGTGACATGGCAGTGGTGGTTACATCGGCACAAGGTGCCGCCGGTGGCAAGATCTCAATCATGCCATTGTTTCCGACAACACTTACTGATGCTTGGCCAAATTTGAACTTGGCCGCCAACTCCTTCGCAACTCCTGGTGAAATATCACCTTCCTGTTCTCTCAGTCGTGGAGCCATCAAATCAAACACACAGTTGTCCCACCAGGTGTGCCAATTTGTTTTCCGGCGAGGAAAAACTGGTGTTTGAACACAATCAATGCACCTTGACTTCTTGAACAACGATTAATAACACGGTTCACTCCTCTCCGAACAATGTTCGAACGAGGGTGTTTGATTGTTTGATGGTTTTTTGGGAACAAGCTACGTTACTCTACTCCTATGGAGGTTCAGTGAGAGCTCCAAAAACTAAAAGCTTATTTGCAGGGAAAAGATAAATTTTGACATTGTGTGTCAAATGATTGGTTGTGGAACCCTTGCTTCTTCTTCGTTTTTTCTATTTATAGCCACTAGGTGTAACTGCCTTGGTAACCGCTAGCTGGCCTCTTGCTCCAAACCGCCTCGGGGTCCTTGTCGCCGCCTTGGTGACTAGTTGGTAACCGTCGCCTTGAGGCCCTTGTCCCGTCTTGGGGTTGGTGGGTACTTGATGGCCTCGATGCCGGGTCGGGTTGGTGTTGAGCCTTGTCGCCTTGTCATAACTGGATGGGGTTGAGGCTCCTGCCTTAGCCTCCATGAGCCATGATGAGGTCTTGATCTCACCCTCGACTGCTTGATGACTCCCCGCTCCTGAGTCTGCTACCACCTCATGACACCAAGTCCTTCTCATTAACTTGTTGGTTGTCACCAAGCCGTCTCATCGGCTTGATACCTTCTGGCATGCCACCAAGCCTATGTAATCAACTTGACACCCCTTGCTACCAAGCCAGCCCTGGTGGCTTGGTATCCATACTTAGTTTTTGTAGCCTCATCAAGTTGGTAAATTACACCCTGCCGGCTTGGTACCCCGTTAGGGCGCTACCAAGCCCATCTTGGGACTTTGTCTCCATATGGCCTCATAAGGGCCATACATAGTTGTTTGGTACCTAGTCGGGTGGCCACCTCAACTAGCCACCATGCCTTCGTCGAATTTCTTGTCTTGTTGGCTTGATGCCCTGATGTCTGGCTATCAAGTCCGTCTTGCCCCCCTGTTGCCTGGCCACCAAGTCAGTCTTACCCCCTTGGGGTCATGATACCAAGGGGTATGATACCCTGTCGCTTTGCTTGGCTGTCAAGCCTGTCTTGCCGACCCCGTTGGCTTCCTACTTAGCCAAATTCATGCCTTTCATGTCTTGGTACCAAGCCATGCCTTGCCGGCTTGGTACCCTCTTGCTATGGCCATGTGATTCCATACTTAACCAATTTTCATGTATTTTAGTATCAAGCATGCCTTTTCGACTTGATACCCCTTTGGCTCTATACTTAGCCAAATTCAATGTTTTGGTACCAAGCCCTCCTTGCCGGCATGGTACCCTCTTGCCCCATACTTAGCCGATTTTCACCTCGGCATCATGTTTGACACCCTTGGACGAGACCCCCCTTGGACGAGACCATGCATGACCCCCTTGGACGGTGTCATGCATGACCCCCCTTGTGTTGTGGGTCTCAACACTTAGCCAATTTTCGCCTTCCTTGCACGGTGTCATGCATGACCCCCTTTGGACGAGATCATGCATGACCCCCTTTGGACGGTGTCATGCATGACCCCCCTTGTGCCGTGGGTCTCAACACTTAGCCAAATTTTGGCCTTCTTTGCACCACACGGCGAAAGGGTACTCGCGATGACCCCCTTGGACGAGACCCCCTTTGTGCCTGACCCCCCTTGTGCTGTGGGTCTCAACACTTAGCCAAATTTTGGCTCTCTTTGCCACCACAGCTAGGGGTACTAACGATGATGACCTCCTTGTACGATATCATGCACGACCCCCTTGGATGAGACCCCCTTGGACGAGATCATGCATGACCCCCCTTGGACGGTGTCATGCATGACCCGCCTTGTGCTGTGGGTCTCAACACTTAGTCAAATTTCATACCAAGGGGTGGAGGCATCGTCCGGCTATGGGGTCACGAAGACGGGTCGGCCATGGTATAGAGGAGAAGGGGTTTGGCCACTTAGGCCCAAAAACCCAACCCAACAAGGCCCAACTATCTCTTTTAATCATTAATGTTGAGCTGCCCTTATAAATCACTACCACTCCTTGAAAATAATCAATGTGGTATTAAGTTATTTTTTTTTTTAGTGGTAAACAAGTTGAGGGTGAGATTAAGACCTCATCATGGTTCATGGAGGCTAAGGTAGGAACCTCAACCCCATCCAGTCATGACAGGGCGACAAGGCTCAACACCAACCCAACCCGGCATCGAGGCCATCAAGTACCCACCAGCCCCAAGACGGGACAAGGGCCCTCAAGGCGACGGTTACCAACTAGTCACCAAGGCGGCGACAAGGACCCCGAGGCGGTTTGGAGCAAGAGGCCAGCTAGCAGTTACCAAGACAGTTACACCTAGTGGCTATAAATAGAAGAAGCGAAGAAGAAGCAAGGGTTCCACGACCAACCATTTGACACACTATGTCAAACTTTTATCTTTTATCTGCAAATTAGCCCTAGCCTTAGTTTTCGGAGCTCTCACTGAATCTCCATAGGAGTAGAGTAACGTAACTTAGATTGTTCCCAAAAAACCATAAAAAACATCAAACACTCTCATTCGAACATTGTTCGGAGCGGTGTGAACCGTATTTAGAATCGTTGTTCGAGAAGTCAATGTGCATTTATTGAGTTCAAACACAAGATTTTCCTCGCCGGAAAACACATGGCAACTTATAATTATTGGTTATCTTTCTATTTAACATAGCATAGGAAAATCGAGTGAGTTACTAGAGGCCACACATTACGTAGGGTTCAAAAACAGCAATATGAACAAGAAATTTGAATTACAGAGGAGGTTCACTTTAGTCGAATTAGAATCATCAATTGTAGAAGAAAAGTGCCTTTATGGGCCTTAAGGACTTAAATTGAGCAGCAACATCTTTACATGTAATAATATAATATTTGTTTAAAATGAATGGCGTAGTTAGTTATTTATATTAAAAATAAAGGGAAAAAGTGTATTTTACTAAAAAATAATATAAATTATTTTAATATTACCAATAACTATTACAAAAATTTGATAATGTAAATGCAAATGCATTAGTTAATGTTTAATCACAAATTGCAACTGGCAAGATTTGAAAAATATAACAAAGATAATGATGGGCCAGGCTCAGGCCCAGAGAGGAGCAGATGAAAAGAACCAGAAAGTCGCTCAGCCAAGTTGGGCTCGGGCCCAAACAGACTGAAATTTAGTAATTTACCCTCACCGCCAGCCTCACTCAGGCCCTGTCGATCTCTTCTCACCTCCCGCCATCGATACGAAACGCAAAAATTGAGAAAAGGCGGGAAAGTTGAACGATCATAATAAAAATATTAATTTCTTAAATAATTCAAAAAATTTGTCAGCTAAAAAACGCCCCTTCTTCCATGCCTTCTAGACACACATAGCTTCACAAAATTCTCTCTCCCGGAATGGAATCAAACGATCCCTTCGCTTCCATGGCGCAGCTCTGCAGAGTCTCGGCTTCTCAGGAATCGCAACTCCTTCTCCCCGGCTCCGAGCAGCACTCCGACAACGACGCAAATTCCGGCGAAATCACGGAGGAATCCGCCGCGATAACGACGGAGAACGACGATGACAGCGATGAGGTGAATCAGAATTCAATTGAAGGGGAAAACGCATACCTCTTCCACACGCCTCCTGAATTCTCCTCCAGTGTCTCCGATAACGAAGTCTTCCACACGCCGAGGCGAGCTTCTTCCAGCAGCCTGCCGAGCTCTCAGAACCAGGAGCCGCAACCGGAGGGATTCGTCGACGGAGGAGGAGGAGGACGTGGAGAAGGTCGCACGGAGAAGCATGCTGGAGATAGCGACGACAAAGAAGAAGAAGAAGAAACGTTGGGGTTCGCCGTCGATTTGGGGGAGGACACAGATCTAGGGTTTTCCATAATGGCAGCATCGGAGTCTGCTGACAGAATTGGAAGCATTTCGCTCGTGCAAGTTTCAGAAGCTGTCGATCGTGGTCATGAGATGAAGGTAATTCGCTCCGAGTCCATGGAGTCTAGGGTCTCAGAAGAGGAATCTGTTTTAAATCCTGATAATAATGATAATACTTCCGGGCTAACTGTAGAAGCGAGAATCCAGAAGCTTAAGGAAACGCTAGATAGATTGAACTATATATCAGAGAAACAGAAGAGGTGGACGAATAATGCTGTGGCGGAAACTGCAGAAGCTTGTTCATGCCCTGAACTAAGTATTCTTGATTGTTCAGCGGAGAAATCAGGTTTGCCAAAGCAAGAATTCGCTAGTTTAAGCATGAATGTGATTCAAGATGCTCCAAGAGATATTCCAGAAGCTAGTTTATGCCGTGAACCAAGTATTCTAGATAGATCAATGGAGAAACCAGGTTCTCCAAAGTGTGAATTGTTAAGTGTATGTATGAATGTGATTCGAGATGCTCCCAGAGATAGTCCAGAAGCTAGAGGGACTCTAGAGATGAACCAATTCTCCATGATTGAAGACCTTCCAGCTGGGATGAAGGTTGATGATAATGGGCAGTCTCATGGTGTGAAGAGGAAGCTAGAGTTATTCTCACCAGAGGAAATGGAATCAGTTCTTGTAGAAAGTAACAGTGGCAAAGAGAATGAGGCAACAAAGGGTACACATTTGAAAAAGCTTGTTCTGCCACAGGGAGCTTCTGCAGAAATCGAGAAGAATGTGAAAAGTGGGAAGAATGCGAAATCAGGTTCAACAAAGCATAAATTCGCAAGTCCAAGTATGAATGTGATTCAAGATGCTCTAATAGATTGTTCGGAAGCTAGAGGGACTCTCGAGATCAACAACCACTCGATGGTTGAAGACATTCCAGCTGAGATGAAGGTTGATGATAATGGAAAGTTAAATGGTGGGAAGGGGAAGCTAGAGGCCTTGACAGAGGAAATGGAATCAGCTTCTGGGGAAAGTAACAGTGAGAAAGAGCAGGAGGGAACAAAGGGCACACATGATGTGGTAGAAAAGCTAGTGCTGCCACGGGGAACTTCTGGAGAAGACAAGAAGAGCGCGAAATCGTGGAAGAGAGTGAGTGCTTTGGTGAGTCTTGAAGTTCTGGAATTCCTGAAAATGTTTGCAGAAGACACTGACGATGGCGATTCAGTATTGGAGAGCATGAGCCTATTCGATATCGCGAAGATGCGTGGCATGACATTTCCATAGTACCAGTGTGATAATACCGAAGGACTTTTGCTGCGACCTACTGTTCTGAGGATTGGGATTCCAACAACTTCCATACTGCAGGTAAATATTTTGTTGCTCTTGATAGGTAAGTCCTTTTACTGTAGGGTATTGCTGTCATGGGTTGGTTGTGCATCTATTTTAAGAACTCTAATCTCACCATATATTATGTGGAGAAGGTAGAAAAACAGCATCGTCTTCCACTATAGGGCATCCTAAACTTTGAATTAATATGTATGTTCTGTAGGGGAGTTATGTAAAATCCCTGAAATACATATAATTGCAAAGAAATTTAGTTAATGTATCGATAGACTCGTATAAATATGATATTAATATCAAATTGATTCAGCGGTCGAGATCGTTGAATGTCCTTTACCATACTCTTTAATGTTTTATATGTGTGGATCCAATTTGCAGAATGTTTCCCTTCAGTCTTGGTCATAGTTGAAAGTAAACCCCTTTACACATTTCCTAATTGGTTTTTTTTTATGAATTTCCTAAAGGTCTTAGCTCACGCGAGCGATCCAGTCCAAAGAGAGGAAGAAAAACCACTCGACCGATAGGTTTAGAAATATGTGAGACCGAAGAGCAAAAGTAGGAAATGGTCGAATTTTTCTTCATGTTCTTATCTTTTTTTTTATTATTATTATTTCCAGTTTTTTTTAATCATTTTGGACCTATAGGTTGTTGATATGTTACTTGCTTGCCGGCATATTCAAAGCTAGACTGTCGCCTTCCTTCCACGACCGCCGACCGAGCCTACTGCTTTGGCCCACTATGATTACTGCAAGTTTTTTAACAGCAAGTTCTATGTAGCAGGTGGAATGGAAAATGGGGGTGTGAATGAGTAAACACAAAAGGTTTATCTGGTAGCTTCTCCTTTGTTGCCTTCTTTTTATTTTATTTACCACTATAATTATGCTAAAAGCGAGAGAGAAGAAAAAACAAGTTGATACTAGAGATTTTAATCCGTTACGATATTGTTTTGAGTATTGTTAAACTGCAAGTTGTTCACAAATCTAGAAAAGAATTCTCTATAGAATAATGAAATGTTAAAAGTATGAATGTGTTGCATCACTTGCATGACAAGATTGTTTGGTGATTTGTATGTGGATAGTTAAGTTGCTCTTAAGGTCCACATCAAGAAAGTAAAATTTGATAATTAGAAATGTCACCAGACATACGTAACGCTTTAACTAGTACACGAAAGTGTATATCGTGAATCTTTTGTCTATAAATAACTGCATGCATTGTGCGGTGGATGTGAAGAAGGATGTTTGTCGTCGATACCAACGATAAATTTTGCTTGCTAAGAGTGATTGTACGAGTTGATAAACAAGTCACCACAAATGAGTTTTATTCCCTATAAGCCATAACCGATTCTTGTGTTTAAGAGATGAAGCAACCAAGCAAATACTATCTTTTCTATAGCAAGTAGGGGACGAGAGTGTTTTGTTTGTTTGTGTACTTTCTAGGCCAGGGCTTTGTGCTTAGAGCATATTCTTTGCTTAGTTATGTGATGTCCAATGAGGGCCATCTCTTGATAAGTCTTCTTTTTATCTTTGGACCAAAAGTCTTCTTTACCTTAATAGATTAAAGAAATATCAACCATTCAATGCTTTGAAGTGTATAGTTTTAGTGTTTTCTTTCTCCTTGAATGACCTCTCTATTTCACTTTGGGATGAAACCGAATGCTCATAAGGTTAAGAAGAATCAATTCCGAGTGAAACTATTTTTGGTGCACCTCTTGTTATGTATGGAATTAGTGTATTAGAAGATCTAAAAAGTAGTTAATAATGGTCACAAATATTAAATTTTTTTGTCGAACTCTATTGCATTCAAATAGTCGTTAAAAACCCCAATGAAAGAAGTATAATTTGTTTTGTCATGAAACTTATACATATGAAACAACAAACTAGTGTTTTTTTTTTTGTAAACATTAAATTATATTTTCAATACATAATACTATAGTTAATGGAAATTTATAGCAAGTTCAATGGAAAATTATATATATTTATGGTTGATACCAATTGAAAATCAAAATTATTAATAGTGGTATTCTTCCGCTTTTAGACACCTAAGTAAGATGGTCGCTAATACCTTCAATAACTGTACATGCACCACCTTTTCTCATTACTTTCACATCATAGTAATACTTTAATTTGATTTAGGTCCGTTGATTTCACTCAAAAGTAATGCCAGATGAGTAGGAGTGTAGGTTACGATCCGTAGATGAGAAGGACTACAATAAACAAAACCGATATTTAAATTGAATCATCCATTCTCCTATTCATAGATTTGGTTTAGAAAGTATTGGATCCCTAAACAAATTCATAGAAACAATCAAACTAAGTTAAATTCGGACGGATCCAAGTTTTCCTAGTTTTTGCACAAATGTCACTACTCTCAAGTTCACGTGCTCCCTCCAAGTCACAAGGAAACAAAAATAGTAGTTAGCTTTATATGCCAACTTCTTGATCGTTTGACATGGATGGATCCCCATTTTTGCCCACCATTTCTCCACTAAAAAAAGAGAGCTCTCATTGCAAGAGGATAAAGTAATATCATTCATAAGTATATGACCCAATAGTAATGAATTTGTTTGATTTATGACTTGATTTCTGATACAAAATATCATATGATAAAACTTTACGATACCGAAAAGCATCGATTATTTCTGCATCTTGAATCATCGGTCATCGTAATTTCATTATCTGGGAAATGAAACGGACAAAAAAAGGGCTAGAAAAAGATGTTTAGCTTTGCCATTCTTCCGAGTTCTTTTTCTCTTTGGTTGTCTTCTGCAACTAAAAGCTACATACATAGGCACTCATTTGAAAACTCGCCACCTCCAAGAAAGGTTGCATCTTTTCCTCTTACCCATCTATATTTTACAATATATCTTCTCAACCTATACAAAACTCAAAAGAGAAACCCCATTTCCCCCAAAGTTTCCCCTTGATTGAGTTCTATTAGAAATCAAGAGGCCAAAACACAGAAGAGAGAGTGGGGAAAAGGGTTGAGTGAAGAGCAAGTAACCATCACCAGACCTCATTCCAGTACTTGTTTCATTTGTTTGCTTGGCAAAAAAGTTCTGCGCATATAGATTTATCTTCTATATAAAAGCCCTGGTGTTTGTTTTTGTTTTTATTTTTATCAGGGATGATTCTGAAGTCGATGATGTGGGTATACTGAGCTACTACTAGTGCTCGCCTGCTGCCCGCCAAAACTCATAGCTGGATGAAGCAGCTCTGCCTGAGGGAATGAACCATTCGACGGCACATCCAGCAGCAGGTCTTGATCAGAGCTCTCATCGACGAAATGTAGGGAGTCCAGCACGAAGGAACCACCTCCTTCAGGAGGCAACGCGAATAGACTCTTCGGGCTGAAGCATGATGCATCGTTGTCCATGATTTCCCTACTATTGTTCTCATAACCCGTCTTTGTTGAACTCCTTCTCGGGCTCATCATCTTCACCTCTGGAAGAAAAGAAAAAACATGATTTAAAGCACTGAGAAGATCATGATAAAGAAGAAATACTGGCATTGATGTAAATTTGGGTTCTTTCAAAGAGACTTTGGGTAACTGGATGATGGAATTGGACCACTTCACCCATCAATCATGGAATTTACATTCCAGCTAGCGATACAATTTGATTCCGTTCAATCGTCCTTAAAATTACCAATCAGATTATGGAATGTCTAACACTTGAATAATTCCAAGGAAATGCAGATGAGCATCAAACTGTCAGCAGTCAATCTAACGAGGATGGTAGCTGACCTGGGAATTTCGAGCTCTCACGTGGTCTTTTGCCCGTAGTAGAAAAGTTTGACGCCACATTCAGTCCCTTTACAGTAGGAGGACACTTTCCACGGTTGTTTTTGCATTTCTGTACCAAGAAAAAGGCACACAAGAACTCAGTATCGTTCATTGTCAAATGAATCATATAATATGTGCTCGCGAATCCAATGTGTCAGAGTTCAGACCTTGAGTAGATGATAATGCTCCACCCACTTTGACTTTGAAGGGTTGCATAAAGTGAGTCTCTTGAGAGTTTTACAATCTTCGGTCTTTACCCCTGACAAGGACAGATCAAAGACCCCTTCTGTTAGAAGTTGTTGATAGGAAGACAGGTTCTCCTTGAACTGAGGGCTATCGAACATGCTTCTGATGCTGTTAGATGTAAACAAAAAATCATTGTCAATAATGAGCCGTAACTAAGATTCCTGATCCAACGTAAAATCAAAGCAATGGTTTATAATGCATAGCCTGATGCTACTTGGTACAGTCAGCATAGTACAAAGACCAACCTGTCCGGAAGTTTGCCAGTATCAAGTGCAGGCAGAAATTTGAGCAACTGCTGCTGCTCTTCGCTCGTCAAGTGTTCTGAAAACTCCTTGAAGTTAAGGACACACTGCATGGAAAGTGAACAGCCATTGTCAGACAATGGAATCTACAAATCAAGTAAAAGAGAATAATGTTCTGAAAACACCTAAGTTCAGGTAACGTTGATTGTTTGACAACAGTAAGTATACAAGGACTTTATTCAAAAAAAAAGTATACAAGGACTGCAACAGACGTCGAAATGGAACAACCTACTGCGCTAAATCATTCATATGATTGAAAGCGAGCACAATAACAGTGATAATATATAAGATCCTCTATGATTTTAGGATGATGTCTACAAAGAAGCCATCTTGTCGGCAGAAAAACAAACGTCTCATTGTGCCATTAAATAAGGGGATATTTCTTATCATCGCAAGAGAAAAAGAAAAAGAAATGTTAGCTTACATTCAGATCAATATTACACAGGGGTGAGTTATGATGCCCAAGAATTTGCACTTTCTCATTCTGAGACTTGTCCCTGAAATTCAATAATAGAAGCATGCCGTTAAGCTTTGAAACTGCTGATCCTAATTCCTTCTGTTCCTGAAGTTATTCACAACTACAGCATGATGCAGATGTACCTATTAAGCTGTTCTTGCTGCGGCATTCCTTGTCCAGGAAAGTACTGAGGTTTCTCAATCACAGGATCAAGAGTCTTGATGCACTTGGTGTTTCCATTATATGCATTACTAAAATTCACGGAATGGGAATAAGCTTCATTTGCCGGGTAGAACTTGTTCTCTATCGAAAGTGAGCTAGCCTCAGACTCTTCATCTCGAGCTATTGCACTAGGATGCCGGATGAGGACACTTCCATGCCCTATCTCAACAGAAACCATTGGCGTTTCACTCTCGAAAAGCAAGTCATCTTCAGAAGTACCAGAAAAGCAAGAAGACTGCTGTTCATGCAAGATGGTGTAGAGATCTTTTGTAAGCTTCTCAACTGGAGATTGTTTTGGACGATTCACGCATGTTCTTTTTCTAGAAGGTACCATTGAGTCCCAGACAACTGTTTGAGATGGACCTGACAAAAACATGGTGTTAAAATTCTCCTATACCAACATACAAGAAACATTTTGACCAGCAGTTCACAAAAACAATAACATTTTTCGCAGTTCATTAAGATGAATATTAGAGAAAGCATGTGAAGGAAGGTCCAACCTGTCAATTCACTTGCATCCATGCTACCAAAATGAGCACAACTCTCAGAGTTAGATATGGCTGATCCTGAACTCGATCTATTACTAAAATCTTCATCCATAACCTTCCGGCTACTCTGCACGTAATCAGATGCCATTCCTCCAACCACCCCAGCATCAAGGTTTGGCTTTCGTTTGACAAGTTTTATTTCTTTGTTTCTATTAAGAGATATGTTCTTCAGCCTGGCAACTCTCTGATCCTCATATTCATCGGGATCTGCCCGGGAGTGAAGAGGTGTATAGTTTGCCAGAGTTCCCTTCGTCCTCCATCTAGACCCACAAGCATTGCACAACACCGGCTTTTCAGGGGGTCCATTGCGCCAGAGAGGTGTGCCTAATCCAAAAAGTCAAATACACAAGTTTAATACACAAACTAAAAAGCAGCTATCTTGGAAGCCAAATGGATCGTGGTCCAACAAGCATTTTATGAGGGAACTGCAATCTGGTAGTGTCTACTAGAACAATAATTAGCAGCTCAAACTATAGCAAACAAATAGAACAAGATTGACTCTCTTAGCTAGCCATGTAGCATCCCTTAGCTGGTCCTAAACAAAAGCCTGCACCAGTAATACAGCAACTAAAAACTCAATGCAAAGGCTCCTCATTCAGTAAGCGGAAAGAATAGCCATGAGGAATCAATCAACAGATTTTTTAACCAACGATTGCTGAAAATGGGAAGAAGCATGTGAAGATTGTCAAATGGTTTCTTAAACAAAGTTCATTAATGCTAAGAAGTGTAGTAGAATTGGTCTCCACAAAATAACATTTTGATCCAATGACGGAACTTAGTTTCGCACCATGCTAAACTAATCGAAGACATTAGTTTATCTGTAATGAAGGGATTCAACAAAAGGTAAAAGAAGCTAGACATTGCAACAAAACTCTCACCCTACAGCAGCTCAACATTGTTTCGTATCACAGCAAGTTGGTCCACGAATGCCACATTAGTGGCAAACAGCTAAATGGACCAAGGTCCCTGCAACGAGAGAACAAAATGCTTGGAGGAGACAACTCAATGGAGGAAAGTTTTTGAAGAATTCGACAGAAAGCCAGCAGAATGCCACCAAGGAATCACATTTCAAAACCATTGTAGTTTGAGTAGGTGCTACTGAAGTTTACTTTGAAACATGACCCAAGAAATACCATTCAATCAAATTAGAAACGCATTGCTGCCGAAGAACAGCAGACCCCAAAAACCAAAGGAACCCAAAAGAACCAACCCATCTGAGCATGTTCGACGAAAATAAGAATAATGGTAGCTCAGCAAACAAAGAGAGAGAAAGAGAGAGAGCAGATAACAACAAACAACAATACAGCACGCTCCATTTCATTTCATTGTGTCATTTGTTATCCATCCCCAGCTCTTCAATCATATTCATATATGACATTCATCAGGTCAATGAATTATTCTTAGTTTTCTTCTTAACAGGCGAAAATTGATTAGATAGCAATACATAGTAAGCAATTCATCAATCCAATTTCCTCACTCCATTTTCATAACCAAGAACTCACTTGTAACTCCACAGTGATAGCAGGGCCCTTCCTTCCCCATGAGTCTATCTCTACCTCACTTCCTACTCCTTCCTTCTCTTTCTTCTCGAAGGTAGTAATTCAAACAAAAAACCAATTCACAGAAAACCCCAAATTATCAAAACTTCCTCAGAATTCTGCAAAACAATAAGATTTGCTGGGCTGTGTTGGGGAAGTCTATAAGGCAGCAGTGGGCAAAAAGACGGTTTTTCTTCTTCTTTAAAGCAGAACCCAGAAGAGTTTTTTTTCCCCCCAGGGAGGAGTGGTTGAAGCTGAATATAACTTTAACCCAGAAAATACAAAGGAGCAAACATTGAAATGGTACCCAAATAAAGGGGGAAAACACCCAGCAAGAAGAAGAAGCAAATATGCAAAAAAGGAGATTTTTTTATGGGTATTATCAACTGGGAATCGGTACAGCCCAATGAACAAGAGAAGAAAAGTTCATATAGAGGAATCTCTAATAAATGGCTGTGGAAAAAGACGAAGGAAGGTGAAATGTGAGGGGGGAGAGAGAGGAGATGGACAACTGAAAGGAAGAGGAGATGAAGAAAAAGAAGTGTATTGTATTGTTTTGTATATGAAGTTAAATGTTGGAGCTTTCTTTGCTTTCTTCCTCCTCTCTCTTTTTTTTTATTTTGTTTCAAGAGTGGTTTTGGGGTTAACACTTAAATATGTTTATTGAAAGGTTTCATTAACTCTCCTCTCTTTTGGTTGAGAAATGGGCATTATAAACAAACAAAAAAAAATAGTTATTAGAAATAAATAAATAATCTTACACTGAATTTGGTTATATATATGTGTTTATTTATTTCTCCATTCTTTCACTAATCAATAAAATTTAAATAAATATAAAACCCTACAGTTCAAAATTAAATATGTCCTAATTTTACATGGACTGGTATGGTTCGTAACTGGTTCGGTCATATATGAATTGAATCACTATCCACTCTTACCTTTTCTTTTTCCAATATATATTTTTTTTGTGAAACATTTTCCAATATTTTATTGTAAGTTATCTGAACTTTTTTTATTTCAATACAATGTAAACTGAAGTGGGTAGGAAGATTGATTTGGAGATATAAATTCCATTATTAAAAGTGTTATTAATATAATAAATTGATTGTTATTGCATTTTTTTGGGAATGTTGACTATAGACTTTTCTTTCTCCTCTTGCCCCTCTAAATGGGTTCTTGTTGCCATTTCCTTCTTCCCCAAACACAAACTTCCTTGGGCAAATATAATAAATTATTGCAAGTAAAAAAGGACCCAATTTTCCCACAAAAATTAAAATGAAATAAGAACATGGGGTAGCAAAGTGTAATAAGTGGATATCAAACCCCAAATAAATAAATAAGCTTTCTTCCCCAAAAGAAAATGAGAAAAATAGGAAGGAAAGCCATGACCTTAGAACAACCAAAAAAGGGAGAAGGAAACAAGGAGGGAGTTTTGTTTGGCTTGGCTGCTTTCTTCTCCTCCTCTTCTTCTTTTTTCCATTTTATTTTTATTGCAACAATGAGATAAATATTTGTTTTATAGCCTTATGCAAGTGATGACATGATGAGATGTGTTGATAAGTATTGTTAACTTGGGGTTTGGGAGTTATTTTCTTCCTATAACACATTCATTAATTAAAAGAGGCATGTACATGGTCACCTCCCACTCTCTCATCACCACCATTGGAATAGATGCAGTCCAAACAGGATTTGGCCATGGCCCCACCAAATTACAATTTTAAGCACTTTGTGTTTTGGTTAATTTTTTTTATAATTGAAGCACTTGGTAATTATGGGGTAGTGGTGTTCAAGGTTTAATTACCTTGCTTGACTTAGAACTGATTTTCACTCCAGGTTAAAATAGGCCTTCTTATTTCTTTTCTGAGGTTGTTTTTACACATATATGAGGTAGAAAGCTTCTCCAATCGTAACCACTTATAATTTTTTTTTCTTTTCTTTCGTTGGGATATCACATTTTTTATAAGGGGATATAGATTTACTTTTGTGATTTTAAGTACTTTTTAAATAATTCGAACCTGGGATGCCACATATTTGTATTACGGAAAGTTTCACGGTGTACGTTTTCATGATAATAAGCCTTCATGTGTTCAACGGTCATTTGAGGTGGAGAGCTGGAATGGTAAGAGCGATTGGGCAGGCCTTCAGGTAGAAAGCGCATATGTAGCCTTTAGAGGTGGCAAATAGATTAGATGCATGAATTGATGGATTTGGATCAAATTCATTAGTGAATTTATGAATTAGATCAAATGGATTGGTTGATTGGATTTATGGATCCAAATGGCATCTAAACATAGAACTCATATGAAAATTTTGAAAATTTTAGGAACTAAAATGTGATAATAAAAAAATTAGGTGGCAAAACATATTTTTCCAATGACATTTCCATTAATAACATAAATAATAGGTATCAAATCATAAAATATAAAAATAAAACATATAGGTACAAAACAATAATATTCCAAATATCAATGAATCACCAATCCAATTGGAATCATATTTAAATGGATTTGATTAATTTGATATTTTAATGGATGAGTATAATTGAATTGATGGATTGGATTCAAAATTTCCACCTCCAATAGTCTTCAACCATACCGTCTATTAGGGCTGTCAAATGGTGTGGTTACCGTGCTGACCATTTAACCAATAGTATTCAGATAATTTAGTTTGGACTAATTTGGATAATTGGTGTTGGTTGGTTAAATTTTTAGTTTGTTTGGTTTACCTGGTTTGGTTTCAGTCATTCAAAACCAATCAAATAAATTAAGCAATAAGTCATATATCTAATACATTATATACTTGTACTTAATACTTTGCATAATCACTCGAGAGTCAAATGCTCCTCCCATTTGGATCAATGAAAAAAATAACTCATTATTGTTCCTATATAGTAATTTTCTTATAGATAATAGACAATGACGTATGGTTACCTAATTTAGATAAATCTCATACATTTTGTTGGATGAAAAACTGAAAGGCAAGAGTTTTTTATCCATTGATAATTGCTAAAAGACTAAGACGATTCATACAGACACACCCAATTCATTAACCTATATTATTAGGTGGCTACTTCTAGTGAAGGTAATATAATTTTATTAGTCGTATACATTTACTTTAAGGGTTAACTATGTGTTAATCCTTTGATTTTATTCAATTATATAAATTTAGGATTAATGCGTTATTGAAATATTTTTCTCACCTAATGATAATGATATGTTATATTGGTCAATTGACTAATTAAATTTTAGTTTGATTAATATGATTGTTGTATTAGTTTGATTGATTTGATAATTACGAAGATCACCATTTTAACACTCCTATCATCTATGTGTGGACACATCTTTAGTTTTTAGCACAAATTTGAGCCTGCCCCTCCAACGTCAATGCACCTCATTTTAGGTCACTAGTCTTGTACACATGTAGCATGCATCTAAAGTAGTTAGGCTTTAGTGGTATCTTAATTACATTATTTAGTTTCCTATAAATTTGATCACCTACCCATGATATGACATACTATTTGTTACTCTATTCAAGATATCGATGAGAGAACTATCTACTATTAAAATGTAAACTCACAAATCTACAAATATATTATAGTAGAGTTGTGAGCAGTTTTTCAGCATTTTAAATTTCGTGCAACGATAGCGAAAGTAGGAAGGGTAATTTTGTCTTTACAATCATTATTTATTTTTTATTCATAAGAAAAAATACATCAATCTCGAGATTTGAACCATGGTTTTTTCAAACAAAAACAAGAACCATTACCAATTACACTAAAGAAATGTCTTGTATCTTTTTAAATACAAAATCTAAAATCTAAAAACTATATGACTTTTCATTTACTAGCTAGCCCATAACTCATTAGTAAGTGCTTTATTTTTTATTTGATATTTGAATTTTCATATTTTGATCATTTTAGTTTGAGTTTAATAATAAATTTAATTTATGTCTATCTTATAAATGAAGGATAATTTTAAAATTGCAGTCCAAATATCATTGATTCGAATATTGCATATTAGATTGTAGTATTGAATGTGTAGATGTGATGTAGAATTCTTAACTTGGTATTAATTTTTAGAATTATTAAAGCAACGATATTGTTATGCAAATTGTAAGTGACCAGTTTTTTTAAAATTATAGTTTGATTATCCGTTAAATCATATCTCTTGATAACATGGCATGATTGGACAAATGGGTGGGTTTAAAAGAACACAATTTCTTAATACCAAATTTTCTAGATAATTTCAATTATTTAAATCTTTTTATCTTGTATGGACATTGACCATATGTATCATTCATAGTTACTTAGTTTAGTATGAAATAACCGCAGTACAAGACAAATTGTGAAATTCGGGCTGGAGTTTTCATGGACGCATTTGTGTGGTTATGTGCATTAGCAAGGTAGGTACCACAAGATAGACTTAAATTTTTTGTTGAGTGAATAAGATTGTCCATCAACTAAATATAGAGTATGCTGGTTGATAAATAATTTTTTCATTGCATAGAGTATTGATGAAAAATGTTATTTTCTTACTAATTTTGTTATTGTATTGTGCAAAATACTTTAAGGTTTGGATATTGCAGTATTGCTATATATGTATTGTTTCTCAAGCAAAAGAAATAAATATTGACTAAAGGTTATGTTCATGAGTTTTCTATTTATGCTACGCTTTTTCAGACAAACTCTTTTTTTGTTATGTCAATTCTCTTTTCAATCATAGGCAACTAAGTGACTACATCATTAAATAGACAAGTTATGAATGATTATTCATGAGTGTTATAACCAAGATTGTTACACCAATAACGAGCGGTTGGTTGGACAAAGTCCGACGAAAGTCGAGCTAAAAAACGAGCTCTGCAAAATCAAGGTTCTGATCGTTAGAGAGGGAGAAGAAGAGAGAGGGAAGGGGGAGAGGCAAGGGATGGTGGGTGGATCTTGAGATCGATTTGTTTTTTTTTATGTAATTTGAGTTTTTAATAGATATAAATCAGTACATTTCATTTCAGTCACTAAATTTCTATCTTATATGTAAATATATTTAGAAAAGGTATGAAACAGCTCAGATAGGTTGGATCTCGATCAAACCATTAAACTTTAAACCGCTTGCTTGACATGCTCAATGACTTAAACCGATTTGACAGTTTTGGTTATAACCATTAAGATTACAATGTTCATCAGTGATGAAAAGTTATAAGAATTTCAAAAATGAAAAAATAATTTCGATGTCATCTTAATGTCATACGAAATTCTGCATTTCAAATAATTTAAAATTTAAATACACATCATAATTCATAATTACATTATATTCAAATAATATTCCGACCAACGGATCGGACAATAAGCTAGTTGTTTGAACCTAACTGAGTGTAGGAGTGAGGTTCGTGGGAGAAAGAGGGTCAAGGAGAGTAAGCAATAGGGATCGATTACAGAATGAGGAAAGAAGGTAGGGAAGAACAAGGTTGGGAGAACAGAGTCTTAGAGAGAGAAGTCGATGATTGTAGAGATATAGTATAGAAAAATGCGATCCCCCCACCCACCGTAGTAAATGCCCTATTTATAGGCTAAATAGTGGTGGGTGGGTTACATGGGGGTAAGGTGACATGACCTCTGA